AATTTAAGAGTTCATATGAAAATAGGTATTGTTTGGGGATTTGTTTAATTGTGTAGAACCAATAAATGTTGCATACCCCTCTACTGGGTCAGCAGAAGCAGCTGAACTATTTATTCCTAGAGTTCTGCTAACATCCTTGTTAATATCAACAACCAAAACAAGATATGTTATTACAGAAGTCACTATGTAAATTAAAACAAGAATAACCAGGCTAGTTTCTGCACTAATTAAACACATTAGGACAAGATCAGGCTATTGTAAATGTAATGAAAATTTTTAAGTTATTTTTTAAAGGGTGTGTCCTCTCAGTGCCCTGAATCACATCTCCAGACATTTTTGTGGCAATGACCCATCTACCTATTTTTCACCCCACCTCTCAAAAGGGCTAACTAAATTTAAGTCTGAATTAGATGCATTTCAAACAAGTTCCAAAATTAACAATGAGCAGAGGTTAGTAAAACAGAGTAAAGGAACTACAGGAGATATCTGAATGGGTATATACATTTTATGGTGGCTCTGTAAAGAGCATCTGAAGGAAGATACTGGTAGTTAGCTACAATAACTAAATATTTTCTGAATAGCAAAGATAACAATATGTACACAAAAGTCCCGATTCCTGCAAGACATTGAGCAACCTCATCTCCCAGAAAGTGATCAGCACTCTGCAAGATCTAGCTTTAAAAGGAGTTTTCATAAGATTTGGTAGAAACATCTGTCATTATTTCACTATTTCCATTCACTAAATCATGTTTTCGGTAAAGCTGACAGTTTGCAGATATGTCTGGGAAGCTTTAGCCCAAAAAGTAAGTTTCAGCACACAGGTGATTGATTTAATTTTGGAAACTCGAAGAAAGGCATTCCAGCTGTTTTAGAAGACACAATAAACACTCTGTCAGAAAAGGGGCCAGAATCCAGTAGCCCCCAAACTTCTCTACCTTAAAGATTGAATGCAACTTTAATATGAAATTTACACTTTAGACAATCATGAAATTCAAAGTGTAAGGTTTCTGCTGCAACATTAACTCAGCCATGTAGCGCACACAGAGCATTTTTTATTCCTTTCTCACTCTTAAAATGGCCCTTTTACATCACTGTTATAGTCACAGGTAACACTGTTGTAAGGCTTATAAAGAAGCATGCTAACCTTTCTTCAATAAGTTTTTTCACCTGTGCTTTTAAACACTGTATTAGAGTAGGATTGAAACTTTTTTAGAAGTCTCATTTACTTTTCACTATTAAAAAAACATATTAAAATGCAGAATAAAGGAAGGCAAATACTACATTCAATAAGGAAAAGGAAAAGGGTACTGGAAACGGATGGAGTTTTTGTTCCTGGGAGTTAATGTTAGCTTGATCATCAACCTGGGTAAACCATAAACTATTGCTTAAAGATCATATGAACAAACTTTTAAATGTACTCAGGGAATTTTTTTTTAACAGCCTCCATGTATATTCAGTTTCCTCTCTTGGTAAAGACAAACAAAGAACTATTTCAATATATTCTTTCTCTGCCCTACCCTTCCCCCACACTAGTTTATGTCAAAATGAAAGTAAAACTGACAAGTATTCTGAATGGTGTGCTGACATAGTGCTATCCTAAATGCACCACTAACTTGCAATACATTTGTCTACACATTCTTCATTTTATTTGGAAAATCATGCAGTTAGTACTAAATAAATGCACCCCTGGTACCGCCAGAATATTGCAGCAGGACAGTGTAATTTAGTATTTTGAGTGTTTAGAAAGCCTGGGTTGATCTTTTGTTTGATAAAGAGAATTCTCTCAATTTCTTCTACTTAGTTTTTGCAGACAGTTACTGTAAAACATCAGATTTATTATTCAATTGAAAATAGCCCTACTTGCCAAATTGAGAGTTAACAGGACAGATGAGAAATACATAAAATTTACAAGACATATGATATCTATTGCATAACTACCAGCTATCCTTAAGAGAAACCAGTTTTCAGCTAAATATTTCTCAGTCATATGCTACCTCAAAAAGCTTACCTAGTACAACATATTTCAATTACATTAATGCAGGTCTCTTATTTTTCTCCCATATCCCTATATTTCAAACAGTATTAGGCATGCTATCATTTAATGCCTTTTTTGTAGTGGGATATAAAAGAGGGAAAACTTTTAAGAACAGTCAATATCAGCTGTTGTGATTTTTAACACTTTGGTAAATGGAACCCAAAGAGCTAAATGTTTTGGTGTTTTTACTTTACTGGTTAGATTTTTACTTCCACATTGACCGCCAATGTTCTGAGAAGGCATAGCCTAGAACATGAGAATAGATTTGAATCTACTACACCGACTGAGTATAGCCTAGAAAAAACAATCTTATTTTATTGTTTTTAAAGGAAGGCTTTCTGAATATGCCTATCAGGCTAAGGCCCTTTCTACACTATGAAGGGATGCAACAACTTATGGTTTGTTAACATCATGTGAATCCATACTACAATTTTAAAAGCTATTCAATACCTGATACAAGAGTCACCAAAGGTATGTCTGAACAGAATTTAGCTTCAGCTGGTTTAAGTGTAGCATGGACAAAGTATACAAGTTTTGTTGCAGAGCCCGAGTTTTGGGCCAACCATAACCACAACATGACAGCATAATGCCAAGTTGAGAATAGCTTTGCAAATGCATGCTTTCTGAAGCAAAAAGTGAACGGTATCTACACTAGCAATAGTTCTCTCGTGGGCCTGTTTAAAAGAATCCAAGTTCTCAAAGGAGGCCACATTTGTGCAGCTTCACTGGTGGTGGTAACAGATCACCACTGTTTACACCACCTTACCTAACCTGCTCAAACAGGCCTAGAAAAACAGGGCGATAAAGTGTCTGCAACCTATCTATGCTAATGCTGAACAGTGGTAGTGTAACAACATAAATTAAGAAAAAGGCCACTGCAAACAAGTCCAAAGATTTGGTATGACAACACATTCAAATGCACATACACTACAGGGTACAATACTCCAAGTATGCGCACCATATAACCATCCATGGCCAAAACATCAATGCTCCTGTCTTGATATAGTTGCCAGGAATGCAATTTCAAAGTGTAGACACAAACAGCATCTTTTCAGATAGGACTATTCCACTATATAGTGGCTGATGGCTGTACCAGCCAGATGCAGGTGTGGGGAAGGGGTGGCACTAGGGGACTGAGGGCTAGTCTACACTGGCAGCGCTTTACCATGGCTTGTGTAGTGGCGGCACAGCGCTGGGAGAGCATGCTCTAATAAAACCCCACCTCCACAAGGGGCGTAGCGCCCAGCTCTAGTGCACGGTCTATACTGGTGCTTTACAGCACTGAAAATTGCTGCGGTCAGGGGATGTTTTTTCACACCCCTGAGCGAGAAAGTTGCAGTGCTGTAAAGTCCCAGTGTAGCCAAGCCCTCACCTACTTCTACCATATTAACAAGAAAACTACATTTAAATCTCCCATAAAGAAATGTTATTTATCCCAGCAAACTGGGCAAATAGAATTTTGCAAGATTGGTTTAAAGCTTTATTACAAATGTAAGAAAGTGATATTATAAACTACACTAATAAAATACAGTCAAGTCACTTATACTGTAGTTTAGTGTCAGATATTTAGGAGTGATGCATTTCTAGCTCCTGGATTGACTCTGTAGAGAGATACATCAACAATTATGACATAATTAATTAAATGCTCAGACACTCATCTTATGATCACCCCCCCTATAATGAATGCTACATTATCCAGTAGGGCAGAATTATGTGAGTATCTATACAATATTTCCAACCCACATAAAAGTTGCCACAGGATGGCAGACGAAGTCTCTTGTACTTACGGTCTCAGGTGTATATACCTCCCCCCCCCCCCCCCCAGGACTTTAAGTTAAAAAAGAAAAACAAAAAACAAAACAAAAAAAAACCCACCATTTCAGACCAATGGTTCATGCAGTCCACTATTCCACCTCAGACAGTGGCAAATACCAAATGCTTCCCAGGAAGGCACAACCCTATAGTGGACAATTTACAGAAGAACCTCTTCCTAGGGTAAATTTCTGACTAGCCCCCCGTAATCTCTGCTTGGTTTAAACACTGAATCATAAGGGATATTAATTTTTTTTAAATCCTATGTGAGAAATTTCAGAGCAATCTAACAAAGATAGGTGAATGGGCAAGAGAATAAAACAGATGAAATTCAGTGCTGTCTAATGCAATGTAATGCACATTGAAAGGAATAATTTCAACTACTCATACACATTGCTGAGTTCCAAATTAGCTGACTACTAGATTAACAGGAAAGAAACCAGGGCATCATTGTGACCAGTACCATGAAAACCTCTGCTCAGTATGCTGGGACAATCAACAAAATAAACAGCACACAAAATACTGAAGTTAGAATGACAAAAATATAAATTTGTGGTATGCCTTCAACTCAAATAACGTGATATCGCTCAGATAACACATCCAGTAGAGAACTAGCAAAAACAAAAGGGATTCAGATCGATGGTGAAAATTATTGAAGGGGAGATTGTTGTACAAAGAGAATTAAAAAAATGAGACTAGTTTACAAAGAAAACTAGAAAGAGGAAAAATAAGAGACATGCATAAAATAACGTTACACCTTAGAGAACTCTAAACCCTCACGCTTCAGGATACAAACTAATCAAACTGAGTGACTGAAGCACGTTCCCCAGTGGGGTTTCTTGCTCGGGTTCTGAACCATGGGATACTGGCCGGGGTGGGCCCTGTCTGCTGGGCAGAGCAGCTCCCGTGTCACAGGCGCGGGTGACCCCTGAGCCAGCCCGCCCGGCTTGCAGGCGCTGTCCTGTGGCGGTGAGTTCCACAGGCCGCTCACCAGAGACGGCGCCGGGAGGCGGCTGATTCCTAACTACCAACCCCATCGAAACAAGCGACACAGATACCAACAGGTGTCGCTGCTACATCGGAGAAACCGATTATCGCCCCGGGGCAGCGCTCAGGCACCCGGCGAGCACGGGGGAGAACCCCTGGGAGGTACCTGCGTGGTCAGCCCCTGCTCCTCGTCCTCGTGCCCGCTCAGCACCCGGCGCAGTTTCTCCATCTCGCCGCCGCCTCAGGCCCCACGTCCCGCCCGCCCCGCGCTGTCCCCTCCCCCCCTCGAGCCCCGCGCACCACTGACCCCCCCAGCTAAAACCCCACCGGAAGTCACGAGACCACAAACGGAAAGAGAGCCGCGGCTGCCGGGACTTTAATCCAACCATTGGAGTCCGGCCGGGAGCCCCGCCCCCTCCGGGAGAAAGGCCCCGCCCCTCCCCCTGACTTCTCCTTTTATCCCCACCCTCTTCCCCAACTGCGCCCCGCCCCGCGACTAGCCCCGCCCTCTCCCCGCTTCCCGAGCACAGCCCCTTCCCTCCTCGCCACGCCCCCTTCGCATACGCAACTCCTGGTCCCTCTGCCTCAGCCTTCCTAGTGCCCACGCCCCCTGCCGGCCATGGCTCCGCCCCTTTCCTGATCCCTGGCCCCACCGCAGTCGCTACGCTCGGCTTCCTTCCCGCCCTCGTGCTCCCACGCCCGGCTCGCCTACGGTCCTCAGGAGCGCCAGGCTGGGGGGCGGCTTGGGCATCCCCAGGTCTGGGGCAGCCTTGCAGTGCCAGCGGGCCAGGCGCCTGCCAGTGTGTTAGTTTGCGTAATTTCTTGTTAACAGCATTCAGTCATCTGCAACAGCGCGCTCTGTCCCCACTGCCAATCAGTCCCAGAGAGAGGGATTTCTGTACAAATGTAGGCATGCCCCAGACTGTCATAAATGGAATAACAGTTCATGCCACCTCCTGTGGTAATCCTCTCAAATGCAACCTCTCAGTTAAATTGTGAATAAAGAATTCCTTATAAAATACTACTATATTGATATTAAAGTATCTGCAGAGAAATACTCCGAATTCATCTAAACTTCCTACAGCAATATTTAAATATTACCAAAATTAAGTAAATGTACATACATACATCTTGTCATTGCTTACAATTCAATGCAACAATCAATTTCCTAGCAAATTAAGGCAAAAGCACATCACATTATACAGGATTGCATTCATGAGCTAAAACCATCTTCAATGAAAATGATCTATAAGAACAGAAGAACGGCCACACTGGGTCACACCAATGGTCCATCTAGCCTAGTATTTGGTGGACCAACAGTGGCTTGTGCCAGATACTTCAGAGGGAATGAGCAGAACAGGGCACTTAATCAGGTGATCCTTCCTATCATCCAGTCCTAGCTTCTGACAGTCAGAAGTTTAGGGACACCCAGAGCATAGGGTTGCGTCCCTGGCCATCTTGGCTAATAGCCATTGATGGACCTATCCTCCAGGAATTTATGCAATTCTGTTTTGAACCCAGTTATATTTTTGGCCTTCACAACTTCCCTGGCAATGAGTTCCACCAGTTGACTGTGTGTTGTGTGAAAAAGTACTTCCTTATGTTTGTTTTAAACCTGCTGTCTATTAATTTCATTGGGTGACACCTCCCCCCCCCCCGGGGTGCTAGTAGGGTGACCAAATGTCCCAATTTTATAGGGACAGTCACGATATTTGGGGCTTTTTTTTATATGGGCTCTTATTACCCACCACCCCCTGTCCCAATTTTTCACACTTGCTATCTGGTCACCCTAGGTGCTAGAACAATTTTTATAGTGGGGATGCTGAGAGCCTTTGAATCAAACTGTAAACCCTGTATATGATGGAAACCACTTCAAGCCAGGGGGTGCAGCAGCACCCCTAGTTCCAGCACCTATTGTGACCCCTGGTTCTTGTGTTATGTGAAGGAGTAAATAACACTTCCTTAGTCACTTTCTCCACACCAATCATGATTTAGAGACTTCTTATCATATCTATGCATCCGAAGAAGTGGGCTGTAGTCCACGAAAGCTTATGCTCTAATAAATTTGTTAGTCTCTAAGGTGCCACAAGACTTCTTATCATATCCCCCTTTAGTCATCTCTTTTCTAAAATGAACAATCTGTCTTTTTAATCTCTCCTCAAATGGAAACTGTGCCATAGTCCTACTCATTGTTGCCCTTCTCTGTACTTTTTCCAATTCTAATATCTTTTTTGAGATGGGGTGACCAGAACTGCATGTAGTATTCAGATTGTGGGCATACCATGGATTTATATAGTAGCATTATGATATTTTCTGTCTTATTATCTATCCCTTTCTTAATGGTTCCTAACATTGTGAGCTTTTATGACTGCTGCTGCACATTGAGCAGATATTTTCTGACCCCCAAGATCTCTTTATTGAACGGTAACAGCTAATTTAGACCCCATCAGTTTGTATGCATAGTTGGGATTATATTTTCTAATGTGCATTACTTCACATTTATCAACATTGAATTTCATGTGCTGTTTTGTTGCCCAGTCACATGTTTTGAATATATTCTATATGATAAGATTCCAGGAACATCACTCAGTGTGTGTCCCTCTGAAGTCTATAATGTCTGTTGAGTCAGTGTAAAAAGTGAGGGAAACAGCTACGAGAATGGTTGAGAGCTCTTTTAGTTCAGAATATCATCAGATTGAACCATCACTAAATTTCATGGTCTGTTACTGTGCAATTTCTAAATTCTCAGCCTTTCTGACTTTACAAATTACACCCGGGATGGTGTACAGCTACAGTAAAGCACTTATCTATCTATCTATCTATGCCATGCCAAGAGTCCTAAACCATTGTGATATCACAGGTAAATCAACTAAGCAGCATCCTTACTCTGTGGCTAATTTGCATGCATCGGTTTCATCGGTTGTATAAGGAGACTGTACTGATGGTGGATTATTTGGCCTAACTGCCACTGGAGTAAATCAATACAAATCTTCCAGCACAGCCCATCCCTAGACACAAATCAACACAACCGCCTATACAACACAACCAGCTCACATGATAACCCCAACACACACAGTCCTCACACAGAACAGACCCATCATTTATCTCCTGCAAAAAACAAAAAAATCCCCCAACCAGTACAACACAGCCCCCCCCCCACCTCCTCACACACAAATCATAACTTTGCCAGCACAACACACAGGTTTGCCCACCCTCACTCATACTTACCATAAAACAATTAACTTGAGCAGAAAAGCTGCTGGTTCATTGCTACTCATTATATAATTATAGCTATAATGGACTGCTAGCTTCTATAACCACTCACATGACGAGACCCATCTGGGTACAGACAATATTTGCAGGAGAACTCACAAATCATCTAGCTGCATAATTCCTTATTGTTGCCTTTCAACTGGTCAGTTTTTGCTTCTGAGAGTGGGTTTAACTATTTGAGTGTCAAATCCTGCAAACCTTTATTCACATGAGTATTCCCAGAAATGCCCAATGGTGATTAAAGACAACAAATATGAATAAGCATTTGCAAGATAATTCTCCTGGTGATAAGGCCTCTCATAAGATAATGGCCAAATTCTGTTCTTAATGACAAGTACACAATTGCATTAAAGTTGCAAGAGTGTTACACAGCATAATCTGGTCCAATATGGGGTATCCTTGGCAGCCTGTTAAAAACTTTGGACCACCTTTGACCCCAAGGTAACTTGATTTACTTCAGTGAAGTTACATTAGAAATGAATTTGGCCCCTTTAGTTTAAAAGAAAACAACATTAAAAAACCCAGCCTGTAATTCATTGTTTTCCTGCTTGCCCAGTGGTTCAGTATTAGACTTTGAATTGGAGTCACAGTAGTAGCTTTATGTGGAGAAAGATAAAACAGTCAAATTATCCACTTTTATAGTGCTTAAATTTGGTACCAAAAAGCCAGACTTATTATAGACACCTCAGATAGATTAGATATACAAAAGTTAGAATCCACTAATTCAGTTTTGGGCCAACATTTGCCTCCGCCATTCATTTCTTTCTGACATAAATTGGAATTTTATGTATATGCCCCTGATGTGAAATTTCCCCAATTTCTGCAGCAAAAACCAAAAACAGTTTTTTTATAACAAAATGGCAGTTTTTTACATGCAAGATGTACCTTTAGTTTGTTTGCATGGCAAATGGCAAAGATTCGAGGTAAAGCTACAATAGTTTCGATTTTCATAAAACTAATTAATGTGATTATTCTTCTTGATGATGATTGGTTAATCTATTTAAGAATTATTAATATTACAGTCAAGCCTAAAGGTCTCACCAAAGATCAGGCCCCCATTCTGCTAGTCCTGTACATATACATAGCAAGAGACAGTGTCTCCCACAAACAGCTTACAACCTAAATAGACAAGACAGACACAGACAGGGAGAAAGGCAGTATTATTATCTCCACTTTATAGATGGGGAACTGAGTCTGGATCTGCCCTCTCTGAGCCATCTGCCAAGCTGAGCCAAGCCTGCCAGGTGCCCTGTGCCCCACCATCTTTTTTGCCCGGGGACAGGTGCCTTACTAGAGAGGGGTCCTCTCCCTGGGCCCCTTCCTTAGGAAAATTCTGGTTGTGCCCCTGCCTTGGGCAACAGAGTACTGGCCAATGTACAACAAAGGCTTAAACAGCTCCCCTAAACCTGGAAGAATTGGTAACATTAAAATATTGCTCATATCGTTTTTGACAAATTAAACTTACTTTCAGAGGGTGTTCTAAAAGCGAAATATAAAAATAGAACCAAATCCAAAACACAAAACCAGCTTCCATCCAAAAGGCAAAACCAAATTCAATGTTGTGTAATGCTTGTTGACATCAGTCTAATTACACTAGGGATAAATTTGACTCACCCTGTATAGGATTCCCGAATGCCTTTCAAATTGTGATCATGTAAGCACAGGGGTAGACAGCATGCTGAGATTATATACCTGTTATTATGGATTTGGACACGATACTCCTGCTCTAAGCAAGAAAATAAAATAATAAAAATGTAGGCCTATTTGAATAGGGAGGAGTGTGGGATGTACTGTTTTACATATGGACTGTTGCCCTCTAATGGCTGGCCTAAAAAGAGGTTATAAGATCTAGCTATTAATAAGAACTAATAATAATCTAATTACCACTGCATGATACTAAGGAAATATTTGTGGATAATTATCCACAATTTAGTTTCAACATTTTTCCTGACACTGACATTATACATTTTCACATTTTGTAAAAAATAATAATTTAGCTGCATAAACATGAAAAATCATGAGATTTTCCATGTCTTTGCAGTGAAAA